CTACCAACTAACAGGCACAGGAGTGCGCATCAACGCCATTTGTCCCGGTCTGATTGCCACGAGAATGACGAAACCCATATATGACATGGCGGAGGAGCGCGGCACGCAGCATAAGATGGCCAGTTGAATCCGATGAAGAGGGGCGCGGTGCCGGACGAGGTGGCGCGGGTTGCGTTATTTTTGGGGAGCGATGAGAGTAGTTATGTTAACGGACAGGCATGGGCTGTTTGTGGGGGGTTGAGTGCTGGCCATCCGAATTTGCCGAACAGGCTGAGCTGAAGTAGGTAGTGAGGAGGATTCCGAGGTGTTTTGATTTTTTGGGAGCGGCTGGGTGGCCCTACATGATCATTGTTGATGATGGATAGATTTTTATTTTACACAGTGTATTAGTTTTTGTAAAACTGGGACACCTGTATCCCTAAGTGAATTACCTATCTCCCTCCAGATCTTGGACTAACGTACCAACCTGGAGAGTCCAACAAATCCACTAATAGCTAGTAGCGACATAATTTCAAGCGCGTGCGATCTGAAGGCATCCAACCCCTCAACACCTCTCCCACCCTCCTACCTCCAAATCCTTACACAAAATCTCCAACACCTTCTTCTCATCAACACTCTGGAGAACATCATTCCCCTCTTTCTCTTCTGCTCCTTCCACCCCCTCTTCTTCGTCTTCCTCCGCTCCGTCCAATACATCTCCATCCCCGCCATCTCCATTCTCTCTCAGATACACTTCCTCCGACACAAACCTATCTGCCGGCAACTCATCGGCTGCCCACGGGAGGACATAAAAAGTAGGGAACTCCAGCACTGTACGATTCCGTAGAGCATCCGTAATCGTGAGTGATTCTGTGAGTGGAATGAGGACAGGTATCCGAGATCGGGATAGAGGACGATGGAGATAGAAGTGATGCTTTTTGTGGAGGGATGGTACCTTGCCACAGGGCGGATCAAAGATGCCATCCCCAGTAGTAGCGTTTGTTCCGTTGCCAGGCTCCTCGTATTCCTCTGTGTTTTCATTGGGATTCTGGGTCGGGTTGGCTGTCGGTTCTGGCTCCGGACTTAGTGTGCGTGACGCAGGAGTTCCGCCGCGTAGCATGGCGCCTCGTGTTTCTGCGTTTGTAGTTTGGGTCGTAGGCGGAATAGAGGTTGGAATGATCTTCGGTTCCAGTTTCCGTTTCTTTGTTGGTGGTGAAGGTGTGCTTATCTCTGCAACATTCTGCTTCGAGAGAGAGGTCCTAGAGAACGCTGTAGCGATGGATGTTGACTCGAGGCACTTGCTAATTGCCTTTTGGCTTTGTGCGTCGTCGCTCAGTATCCATTCAACTGTCCAGTTTAGACTCTTATGTCTGGTTATACAGTCAGTCAGCAATGGCCCATAATTGACCCACTCGCTGCAGTAAAAAATTACTCCACGAGCAGGTCGACACACCAAAAGCAAGGGATAGGAACATACTTCTTATGCCAATGCGACATATTCTGTTTTCCCCTCGACATTCCCTTCGGCGCTCTAACCACCTTTACTCCAGCACTCTCAATCCCCTTCAAGAAGCCTACCTCCCCTTTCTTCACACCCTCCGTCTGCTTCTTCCATCGCTGACTCCTCCCATTTTCAGCGTCACCGTCGCCGTCGCCGTTATCAGCTGCCCTACACAGCTCAATCCCTCTATTCTCCGCACTCCTCTCCGCTCGCTCAACATATCTCTCAATCCCACTTAGGAAGTTAAAATCCTTGTCAAAAGCGACGGGCGTCGCGAGCTCCTTGCGTTTCAGATAGGCGGCCGGGTCGCGCACGCCAGAGCACTGCGACCAGAGTTTATGGCGCTTGCTGCAAGGGAGGGAGCAGGTTGGGGTCGCGCAGCGGGGACATTTGTATTTGGGCTCATTGGTTCGGCTACATGAGCACGATCTTGGTATCAGCAAAGGACGTATTCCATTGTTTTCGGGGTTTGTATTCAGGCTTACCAGATGGTGCACAAATCGCTGAGTGATAGCTCTCTGGATTCAGACATATTTTAATACGATATGATTCCTATAGTAGTCAAGAGATGGTAGGTTGGTAGCCTATCTCTGGAAGTAGAGTGAAGTTCCTTCGGTCAACTTTTTTGGTCGGAATAAGTATTTTCCCGCCTTATCGATAAGGAAGCTCAGGCTCGCTTCTACATCAAGACTAGCGCGATCAAGAGCTGCTTTCCGCCAATCCTTCCAAGGATGTCGCAAGCTGACTCCAACAAGCTTGGCCAGCGTTACATGGAAACGCCGATGACAATTTCCATCACGGGAGCCGGGCGAGCACTGCAATTCTTTGATGCAAAAACACGCATGCGCAAGCGGAGTCTGACATTGGCATTGGATGTCCTATCGACTAGTAGGACAGACACCCATTTGTATCCTGAGTTTTCTTGAGTCTATTATATTTGAGAAAGGTTGAGATTTTCGAAAGTGTGCAATTAGCTAGATAGGGATTTCACAGACGGGAACGGTGCACGGAAACGACTATGAATGTTCTGCCCATGCATGCATGTACTGCGTGTGTCTCCCGTTTGCAACCACCCTCGCAGCAGATACATGCTCCACTGACAACAACAGATCATCCCTACCTGGAGGGAAAATACCCGGGAGACAAAGCTACAAGGAATGTTACAGTTTCCCCTCACGGTGATCATCTCTCCCCAGAGCCAGCTTCGTCCAGGATGGTCCGAGGAGTCCCAGCCGTGAGCAAACATGGAGGAGCTAAAAGGCGCGATCTCGCGATCTTGATACGTTCCTTGAAGGTCCCAAGGTTACCATCCACCCTTGAGTGCGCATTTATCCGTGCTATCCTCGCCAATAATAAAAAAAGGGGGGATATATCACGATTCGAAATCATGAACTACCTATCTCATCTGGCTAAGGCATAGCACCATCATACCATGCAATGATGTAAGGAGCCAACTCCACATTTTTGGAGCTTGAAGTTTGTTGTTATATTTAGATACACTGCATAGAGACCCTTGTCCGCAGATACGATTTCCAACCGCGAAAATAAGCGTGAGCCGGATGTTGCAATCTTCTCCTATAGCCACACATGGTTACGCATCGCAGATTATTATATGCATATACCTCATGCACTCCAAAAGTTTTACATCATGCATGCATCCATCAAATCCCTCCTCCCTATTTGAGCAGTTGTATTCTCATGACATTACAACAAATATATACAACTATGGATGAGAAACTTCATCCCAATTCTATATCTAACAATCACGCTGTGAACCATCAGCAGCAACAACTCTGGAAAGTCAGCATGTATACAAGTCGCCCCCTATCCGTCTTGGGCAGGAAGTGTGTAAGGAGAAAAAGATAAGTATGGAAGTCATAAAAATAATAAAATAAAAAGGACCGGATCTACCAACTTGAACAGCCAATTGGCAATTGGCACTCGGTAGGCTTGCGCAGGGGAGAGCAGATTATTGCAGCAGCGTGTTTCTTGACATAGGGTTTCGGAGAATTTATTGGGCCATGATAACTGTTTCTTTTTCTCTTTCTTTTTGCTTTTTTCCTTGGTGGTTTGAGTTTACACTTTTGCAGCTTGGGCCGTTTCGACAACTGGATAGAACATCGAGTTTGATAGATAAGTGGGGAGACAAGAAGGGCGGAAGGTAAAAAATAGGTGATGCCTTTCAATGTACAGAGTCAATACAGAATATACTGCATTGAAATCTCACCCTCTCTATCTCGAGTGAGAGTATTTTACATAGGTATATAGATGCTTCTTCACTTGATTTAGGAAGATCGCTGTGATCTCACATCGCAGAGTTTATGAGTTGTCACCATATGCCTTCAAACCCTGGCCTCTCCGATGCAAGTGAGCTTTTAAACCACTCACTCAGTCAGCTCCTCAAAATAGACTGGTTGAAATCTCCACCTTTCCTCCATCAATTGAAGACAGAAGACGGATAAGTAAATGGTTATTTTGCATGTCTACTCCTATACAATATCAGGGTAGCCGGGTGCTTTGCGTTTCCCTTCCCCTCTCGGCGGCGAACAATACTTAGTATGCTGCATGGAGCTGGGGCCCCAAAGGCCAAGGCATCAATAACAAATAAGGCCGGCCGTGGCGGCGAAATATATTTGAGCGGTGTCATGGTTGACAGGTTGGAAGGAATCATGGAGATCAGAATGCGAGGTGACGGTCCGTGACACGCGGGAAAACCAGACAGAAAGGAAGCAAAGGAAAGATGGTTCGGTTGGGTGTCCCCGCGCAAGCGTACCAGTAAATCGCTCGACGCCTGGGATATTTTCTTTTTATGTTGCATCTGTTCATCTTGGTTGGTTGAAACGATTGCTTGACGTACGGAGTGAAGTTTTTGGCAACGTCTTCCTGGTGCTACGGTTTTTTCCATTAATTTTCCTTTTCTTTTTTGCGTAATGAGAATGGAAGAAACTATTTGTTCAAGAATTTGCTCTGAAACTGGTACTAAGTATATTCCTATAAGTTTGGGGAAAGTGTGTCACCAATATCAATTCCAACTTCGGCCAGATGGATGGCGGAAATCCATGTTGTGATACCTCAAGTCAAGTCACTAGTAAGATCATCGTCTCGGGAGTGTATTCTGACCTCCAGTCCATAGACAGTCCGTCCGAGATGCCAAGTCATTAAAAAAAGGGCTCTTGTGTTTCAATCAGTGCATTTGCATTTGCTTTTTTTTTTTTTTTTTTTGTTTTTCTTTCCTTTTTCTTTCCTTTTTTTCTTTTCCAGCAACTTTTGATACATATTTGTCAGCCCGCTGACGATCAATAGTTAACTAATGACTTCAGAAGCAAAGGAAAAAGAAGAAGTCAACACCATGAGCATCTGTTCTCCCATTGACAGCATCAACTATTGAAAAGACGAAGCGCAGAGGGGACCATGCGCACCCGTCGGAAAACCATCCGACAGCCTGTCTCAAACACACATCGGGGTCCTGTCCATCCTGACGGCCTGAGCATTGAGGCTCTCAAGTTCAGCCAGTAGACGTTTATCTGGAACGGAACAGCACGATGGCCGTTGTGTCTGAAGCCGCCGTAAGTTACCGAACGAAGATTCGGATGGTAACCATGGCGTTCCTAGTGCGGTGAACCAGTGGCCCAATGCAGCAATCGGACGAATAGTGGAGATCCTTTGGAAGGTGCTTGAGCTGTCGAG